AGGGGGAGAGGGGAAGGGGGAAATCACATAATTGTGCTTTTAAAACTGATTTTAAAAAACAACAAAAGTTATTCCTCAAAACGTGGATTGTCACATAATTTCAATACTTTAAAGCTCATATTAGAGCCTTTCACAAAACCTGTAAAGCAAGTGATATGCATAATATTTAGGTGGTTTAAGTTCCTTACCCCTAAAACCATTTTTTTAAAGCCAAATAATTAGCAAGACGACTTTACTGTGAATTGTATCTATTTTGATAAAAAGTTATACCACCTTTCCTTCAAACCTATTACACTCCCAATATATCTCTTTAATACACAGACATAACCGCAGAAGTACACACACACAAACTTGAAAAGCAAAAAGCATGAAGGTAGCTTAAACCCCTGCAATTACATAATGAAATTTTTAAAAGCACATATTCAATGGCTTTAAGCCTTACGATTCCCCCAAAACCACAGGTAAATCACTACACAAGCCCATTGTAACCAAAAAGATTTTTAGGTTATAAACAGCCTTATAATGCACATCTGATGGTGTAAATAAAACTTACCAGAGGTTGAAGACAAGATATTAACTATGGCGACTTGGGTATCTGACAGAGCTTCTTGGTAAGAGAAATTTGCCAAGAACCACTGGGGGAAAAGAAAAATAATTTTATGATTATATGGATAGCAACAGCAAAGTTTAAGTTTATCAGTGCAATAAAATCCTACTTAAAGAAAAAAACCCAACTATTTGTCCAAAAATAAAATCAGAACAAGACTTTTACCTCAAATAGATTTCTAACTTCTATTAAAGTGGCAGGTACATTAAAAGACAGAGGCAAAATTAGAACTGGCCCAAACCAACCACATTCAACTACATGTTCAATAATGAAATAATATACTTCAGAACTTCAGAACATAATTAAACATAATATACTTCAGAACATAATTAAATAATTAAAATTAAATTATAATAGCTATTCTATAGGAACTGAAGGTACTTTTAACTTGTTCTGCAAGTGCTTCAAGGTGATTACTGCACAAGGGCTGCAAAGAAATTTCAGAGATACATGGGACGTTAGTCAGCCTAGTAAGTTTTTTTAGAGTACTTCAAACAGGCACACATCTCCACCCTAAAAAACAAGCATCACTTACATTCAATACCTCAAAAATATTTTGGAAGGATTCATGTCTGTGAATTCCTTCATAAATATAAAAAACGGCAAGTGTTTTATCATTTTTTGATTAAGATCTCATTAATGAGATCTCAGTTATATCCTCAGGGAAGAACCACTCTCTAAAGTCTTAGGTGGAAATACTTATACTGTCCAAGAAGAAATACATATACATGACAGTAGTAGCAGCATCCGTGAACAGCATAAACAGGATTTGTTTTGAACATAAGGACTCTACCCTAGAAAATCTGCATGTGTATATATATGGAAATATACTCAGATACACAGAATTTTAAATAATTTTTTGAAAAGCTATTTCATCCATCCAAAATCATTAATGAGTGGCTTATTATTCCCTTGGTGCTGTGTGCACGTTCTTTATGTATACACACAGAAAACTACATCATCGTTTTCTGGTCTATGCATCAACAGTACTAATAATTTTTTTTATGATGATTTTAAATGTTTAAAGAGCACAGCTTCCTAAGGAAAAGCTCTGGTGTGTCCACACTACATATAACCTATTTGGCAGTATCAGTGAAGCTACTTTTAGAAAAGCTATCACTGATCTGCTCTCTACATTTTTACCGTCTCTCAAAAATCCTGCCACCATTAACTCTCTCTCCCCCCAGAACTGAGGCATGGTGCAGAATCAGCAGCAACTAACAGATTCGTAAGTAAATCCTGCAGACCTCAATGGAGCTAAAGGACAGTTAACTATCTTCTCTTCAGGGCACTGAAGGGCACAATGCCACAGTGAGGCATAAGATGGTACTCTTTCTGTGATGGCCCAGAAAGAAGCCATAGTGACATTTACCCATTTCATGCAGTCTCACTGCAGCTGTTAACAGCCTGTATACATGTAATCCCAGATTTTGCTGTACAAAACATACCCAACATTGGACAACACAGCACAGAAGCATGGCGTATCTTACAACTGACCTTACAGTTAATCTTACAGGTAACTATACACCCAGGATCTCTTTTTATTACCCTCCCTTTAAAAAGTTGCACCTTCATGTCCAGCATGTATGGAAGGTTTTACTTTTTATAGTATATTTGTAAAATGAGGCATAAAGGATACAAGTCATCTCAATACCGTTTCACTGTTATTATATAAGCTTTAATTGCATTCATACTTAAGTTTTCTGAAAGAATGGAGCACATACCACAAAGCAAAAGAAAAAGCTAATTTTTGCTACTTGAGTTGCAGTAAGTTTTCCTACAGTTTTTAATATTGATTCCTGCTCCTTAACCGCTGGATATGACATACGAGACAGCTTTGCTTCCAGTGCATGGCTCGATGGGAGTTGTCGAATCTCCATAATATTACTGAACCTTACACGAGGCTTTTTGGGAGCTTAAGAGAAGAGGAAAAAAAAATAGAAAAAAAAAGCTGCATATTATCATTAAACTTTTCAAGCCAACACAATATGCAAATAAAACTATGATGTTCTAATACGGCATTGATTACAATACTTCACAAATAATAACAGGTTTCTATCCAAATAGAAGACATGCCATTATTTTTATTTATTAAACTAGTACTTTGCTGTTTGATAGGCCACTAATAAGACAAAGCACAATTATAGTTTTCAACCAATACAGTTGTCCATCCACAAAAAATCTCACTGAAAAGCACCATCCCTCCTCCCTGTCAAAAAAATCCCCAGGCAACAACAAATTTTTAGATAGGAATTACTCTGTATTGATAAATCTTACATATAAGATTTTCTTTAATTGCTTAATAGTCAAACAGCCAAAAACTGCACACAACTATACCTAACTGCAAGGACAGTATTTCATTCAGAGGATGAGAGTGTCCAACAGACCTCAAAGCTTAGCAGAGATCATAAGGTCACATGCTCATTTGAAATCCACCCTCTAACTAATCTTGCAAACCAGGATCAGATTTTATTTATAAGGGTATTTAAGTATCATTAGTTTCCTGTGTAAAGAAAACATTACATGCTACATATAAATATTAGCCTAATTCAACATGAAACAATACCTAATTTCCTAAAAAAAGTAAAGGGAAAAGCTACAGCTCAAACAACCCTGATGTGATTGGTGCATGTTATCACAGGACAGCAGAGCCTATCAAAGCGGTTCTGCACGTGTCATGTAGAAATTAACAAAGAGACTTTCCCTTTTATAAGCAGGGACTCTTTTGCTGAGGATCAGATAATTGGATTCTTTGACAGTCCACTGTTCTATAATTGTCTGGGACAGTTAGGCCCATTTCAGCTACTATCACAAGATAGTGAGGCTTAAATAAAAATCAGAATGCACATAGACTGTTAAAATTCTTACTTTGACTGCTTTGCTCCTGCTCTAAAAAGGACAATAGCTTGTTTTTCCAGAGGCTGACTCACTGCTGCTGGTCATACAAGCCCAGAAGGAAAGAATCACAAGTACTGAACCCAGCTGGTCCCTTGAGATAAACATAGGCTGGATCTGTAGTGACCAAGAAAGGTAAACTGAACGATAGGCCTATGTTTTCTCTACCTGAAAGTAAATATATGAGACCGCAATTCATGCAAAAAGAGATTAAAAGGATTTAAGGGAGGGGGGAAGAGGCAAGTCCTGCAACATGACAGCAGTTATACCAACAAATGGGAAAGCAATTCCTTCACCAAAGAACTAGCATTTCAGCATTCCAAAAGTCTTTACTCACTTTTCTCTGCATCACTATTATTACTGCCATTTTTTTCAGTTGGCAAATCATGAAACTTTACAGGAACATACAAAGGTTCACTCTGAAATGAATCAGTATAAGTAAAAATACAGTTAAGCAGGATATTTAAATTATAAGCAGTAGAATTAATTTAGTGAATTAGAAAACTAAATAAAGAAAAGCTTGGTGAATATTAAGAGAATCAAATTTAACAAAGTGGTTTTGCACAGAGTGGAAACACATGTCAACACATGTCAAACATGTTCACACATAATCTATATTTTATGTTAAACTTATTGGTAAAATGCAGTACTCAAAAATAACCATGCGCTTTTGTGTGTATCCTCATGAACACAAAACTCATCCCCAGAAAATTCAAACCTACTGAGTTAAAATTAAAAAATAACTCAAAATTACAGACATTTCATTAGCTCTATAGCTTCTGTCCAAATGATAAACTAGAAACATAAAATACAGAATACATACACAAAAATGAATACATACTCCTTTTCCTCCCATGGCCCTAAGAGCTCATGAACTAGAACTAAAAGACAGAAAACTTTGGGAAAGGAACTCCAATATGTACAGCACTTAGCAGAAGTTTTAATTGCTCAAAATACTTCTCACAGACAAGTTTCAAGCTGTTCGTTTAAATTAAATTAATAAACTGTAAGAGTGAAGTAATGAAAAAGATCTGGTAGCTGCGTTTTCATTAGGCTCCTTGTTTAGGACTAGAATTTTTGTGGATGTTTAAATTAATGCAAAATTGTCCAAGGTTAACAATGAACCCTGCTTCTAGAGTCAGACGATCTTAATGAATCGAGCAGACTAAGAAGATTTTATTCTTAAATGTAGATAAATAAAGTTGGAAAAAACCCAAAGAATGAAATGAAGAATACTTCTGAAAAATCTCTCTTCAACTCCCTATTCAGTATAAAATATCCATATGGTAGTTTGTCAACACTCAATTGCCTCCCACTGCTCTATTACAGAGATGGTGCAAGCTTTAGAAGTTCTGTGTTTTGGATACATTTCTGCATGTGGCCTCTGATTTAGGTATGCAGATTAAGCAGCAATCTGATCAACAGGGGCATAACAAACCGTCATTTATGGATGATGAAAATCACCACAAAAGTGCCATCTGGCAATGCAGCTTATCAGCAGAATACCAGTACTGACATTCGATTCAGTAAACAGTAGTCACCCCATCCACTGGAAGGAAGAAGGCAGTCCATTTCTCTCTCAAAATGCAATCCAGGATCATGGTATACAAGATACTCAACTAACTGAATGATTCCGTTGTGGATTTTAGTCTTGAAAACTGCTTGGCTTTACCACTAGCTCTCCACATTTTGCTCTGGCAGCTACTGAGCTGAATATGTAAAGGTTTCCTTCGTACAATATAAATATTTCTTTCACAAACTACTACAGAAACATTCAAGTAAGTGTTTTATTGAGCCAAGAACCTGTATTTCTCATAATAAGCAATGTAATTATTTGCAGCACTTATTAGTAACATGTAAGTTACCAATCCCCTTTGCCAAAAACTATTACATTTAAGACCACCATATTGTAAAAACAGCAAGTCAGGATAATGGTGTCATGTTACTGCAAAGCATTGACCTTCACAAATGAAGGCACTTACCAGAGAACTGTTTACAGTGTTATCTGTTGTACAAGCAGCAAAATAACCTTCAGCATCTGCAAACTAATTACAGAACCTTAAATGTAATAATCTATCAAGGCAGAGTTATTAATAACTGAAACTTTTTGAGAATAAGTTTTTTAATGCCTTTTTCCATAATTCTATCACAATTGCCTCTCTCCCTCCAGCCCTCCTCCCCAATAAACACGAGGGCTTACAAGTTCAGTAAATAATTTCAGTAATTCCTTGTACCTCTTGGAGAACCCCATTGAATTCAACTACCCAGGTATCAATGCAGGATCAGGCTGTTAGAATGTCAAAACCTGTAAAGTTCAGTCTTAGCAAGACATGCTTCACTAAATTATTGTGTATGTATTAACAACAAGCCTCTTGTTTCTTCACTTTATTGAGGCAAAGTTCCTTTGCATAAAAACCTGGAACTCTGCCTTAATTTTAACAAGACTTAAATTAGGATGAGGTCAAGTATCATTTTTCCTCTCCCCTTCTGCATCTTAACAAGCACTACTACCCCTGTTCCCTGACCTGCAGCTTGCTGTTTTACCATGCTGGCAAGAAATTTATTAAACAAAGCTTCTGATGTGGAAGAGGGCTTAAAAGTAAGGTATGAGTGTTTACCTAAGCAATCATTATTGAAATAAAAATCTATAAATGTATAATTTTTGTTCCAGATTAATAAACACAAGACATTTTAAAGGCACTTGTAATAATTATACAGTTGAACATTTAACTAAACTCCGAGGGGGAGTGGGGGTGGATGTAATCTAACTGCACACTACAGTCCTATCTCTCCACTGTTCTTTTGAAACATGCTAACATCAAAAGTAATGCCTATTTCCTACAAATTATTTTAAAAATTACTTTTTATAGGATTAGAAAGAAAAAATAATTTTCAGATTCCAGTAGTGGTGCCATGAATGCCACACACAAAATGTGACAGATTGAGCACTCTTACTCATTGCTGTCCAGTTCATATGAGTTCATATTATCTCTTTCTTTGACACAGCATGAGATTCAGTTGGTCAATATAACCACTAGACTTCACACTAGGCAATAGCCCCTTATTCTGCTCATCTGCTCAGATTAATAAGTTTGGTCAGTATAATTGCTCTATACAGCTAATCATCCTTGAGCACTTTCATCATCCTTATTTGTCATTACTGCCAGTAAAGAATCTGTAAATTCTGTTTATTTCCCAATTATCTTATGACGATCCTGAACAGCATCAAGTCTAACATGTGCCATACTATGCACAGACACTTGGTATTAAAGGCTGATCTAGCAAAAATTATTTCAAGATATCAGCCAACTCTAAATGTTCTATGTGTTTAAGACAAGATTCTTTTAAAAAAAACAAAAGGTTTAGTTTTTTGGTTTTGGGGTTTTTTTGTGGGTTGTTTTTTTTTTTAAAATAAAAAATCATTTGGCTTAATGTCATGTAACACTTCAATTTAAGTATGTTACGCCTACAACTGTCAGTGAAGTCTAATACATCCAGAAGAACTGAAGTCAGTTCCTTTCATACAAGCTATTTTCTATAAAGACATGTTGATTAACAGCATGTTCTTGGATCACATTTTCTGTTATTTTAATGCAAGATTAGTATCAGGCCAAATGCCTTACTGCTTCCTGAGTCCTGCTGTTCAACATTCTGAAACACTGCCACAGAACAAGCACTCTTCCCAGCATCTCTTAATTTCCTTGGAAAAAAGTATTTATTTCTGTAATGTGACAATAATTTTAGACTCTAGCACAAACTACGCATAGTTCTAGAATGGAAAACAGAAGGTCACTCGTGCATAAAGGCTATAAAAATACAATATTAACAACAACAAAAACATAATTTTACCACCTTTCCTAAATAAAACTTTAAAAACCTCAAAACCTCTTAGCAAACAGTTCATAGTTCTGCCAGAGGCAAAAAGAGTCAGTAATAAAAATCAACTACAAAGTTCAAACACTGGTTCCATTGCTTACAGATGCTGAGGAAGTAAAAGGGAACCAACAGTGGTGAGGCTCATAAGCTCTTCCTAAAAAGTATCATCCTCTCCAACTGTCCAAGATAAAATACCAGGCTAGATGGGCCAATGGTCTGGCCCAGTAGAGCATTTCTTATGATTCCTGACACATTTCCTATTGCTTTTTCCTTTATTTTCTTCCTCTCATAACACAATTATTACGATTGCCATGTCTTCCTGTGCCATGATTCAGTTCGTAATTGCTTTTCTGAAAGCACTATTTCACAAATATGTAAACTTTGCTTTTCTCTAGTCCCTATTTTAAGTTTCTTCCGTACAAACTTGAACAAATATCAAAACATTTACAGAGTTAAAATACTTACAAAAGCTGCATGCCTTCCACGAAACCCACGAGTACACTGTTGCCTCCATGGTTTCCAAACAATAAAGCCCAAGAGGTATAGAACGAACATGGATGTTTTTGCAAACGTACTGAAAAAAGGTTTGTTGTACTTTGTAAAAACATACTGTGGAAAGAAAATAATTGCGGTATCCAAAATTACCAATTAGGTGAGAATTCACAAAACGAATGAACAGGTTTAAGTATATAGGCCAGAACAGTCTGGTTCCCAAAATGACAGTGCTGCAAGTATTGGCATGTATGACCTAAAGACACAAGTGGCCCTACCTATTCTGGGGGTACCCTGTCCCAAGCTATCTTAAATGCCAACAACAAGGCACTGAGCCATTTTGTAAAATACAATGCCACCGGAGAAAAGCTACATATTACTTGTATCTAGCCAAGAAACATACTGGTATGCCAATATGAACTCAAATAGGACTGAAACTACATTTACATACAAATATTTTCTAAATGAAAGACCACTTTTATAAGTAATAGCACAGTAATCACAAATTAGAGAAGATTATTTTGATTAAGTAACATTTCAGTAGCAATAGTGTTCACCAGCTCATTGGAAAAAATGTTTTATTAATATAATAGGATGTTAAGCACATTTTTATATGCTTAGTTTCAAAACTGATACAGAACATAACAACTTAATGACAGTTCAGAAACTTGAATTTGACAAGAATTTATTAAAAACTCTAATTCCATTGCCAAAGCTCTGTTTTACATCCTAAAACTTATAATGAAGTAAACATCAGATCAGTTTCAAGATGGTGAATATATAAACTAGATTATGACAAACTTGTCTGCAATTATAGGGCTTAAACTCCATGACCCGAGACCTTTGGTCCTAGACTTCTAGATGTTCTGAACTATAATCTACCATACCACCTAGCCTGCAATGTTACAGCTCATTTACTACTTCTCAGGAAACATATGGGCATTATTTTAATCAATATGGCAATAAACAAAATTAACTCCCTAATTACAGCACATAGTTATGAGCTTATGCTGTTTAATTTTAAAGTCATCAATAACACCTTTTATCTTGAAAGCAATAGTCACCGAGTTGAGCTTGTTTGTAACTTTTAGTGGATACAGGTTAGTTCACTAAACCAAAGAATATTGTCTTCCCCGTACTGAAAACGTGGTTAAACATTACACTAGTGAGTACACTCACTGAGTGAGTGACCATGTTTCTGCTGCATCTTTCTCCTAAACAGGCTTTTATTTTCCTTTTAAGATACATGGAACAATACTTACAGAAGTGAGTTCTGAAGAGGCAACCCATATCACATCAACGAGGAGAAGAATGACAATTCCCAGAGCCATTCGCCTACGCTGAGTGGATGAACTGCTCTGGGAGCTCATTCGATTCATGATAAAAACCCACACCATTTGTAACCTATTCAAGATTGATAAAGGAATAAAACCCAAAAGATTACAAACAGTGACAAAAAAAACCAAAAACCAAGAAAAAAACCGCAAACCAACAGTGGGGGCAAGTGTTTCATATATATGAAATGGACCCAATGTGCCAGGAAACACGTGCTTATGTTTGTTAAAAAGCAGATCTTTGACAGATCTGGCATGAGATTTTCAGAGACATTAGGGGCAATTAGAAAGTAAATCTCGACTTTTCAAGAATTTATCAACTGTTCTACCACTGAAGTAAGCAAAAGTAGGTAAAACATATAATGCCTTTTTGGAATTTCTATGCTACGAATTCTGCAAAATTTGAAACCACTACGTTTTGGTAAATTCAGATATTCTAAGCTGAGAGTAGAAATTAGTTTGATGTGTTGTGTCAAATAACAATTCTACTAAAGGTAGTCAGAAACATGTTTAAACTTAAGCATTTAAACTTAAGCATTCAACAAACATTTCCGAAGACATAGCAACACATTTGGGCAAATTGTGATCCCTCAAAGCATAAAGTGATTCAAGAAAAAAACCCAAAGAATATTTAATTGTAAACTTACAAAATTAGATTACACATGCCCTTGAACTCAAAAAATTTATATATCTATTTGGTAATTTATCAAATACAGGCATGCACCAATTCTACTGAAAACCTATCAAACTAAAAGTAAGCATACAATATATGCAACAGAAAGCTTTGCCTATTAAAAAAAACCCCAAAACATTGATAATGATTTTGACCACGCTCCGGTATGTTACACATAGGAATAATCAATTAAGAACACTTCAAAAAACTACAGCAGTAAACTAGCTTTAAGCTTGTCATCTAGTACAATTTCTGGCACACTTACCAGAAATTACAGCATAAACAAGTTCGGATTTTGACATACACAAACCTATTTTCCCTTTCCCATACACACCTCACAGCTCCTACAAGTCTTTGTTCAAGGTAGTAATAGAAAAGTGTCAATTTAAGCAATTCTAGTGAATTATCAGAAAAGCACAGCTGGGTTTAATTGCTTATAGCCAACTGCTTTTACATACTGGAAGAGTAAGAGTATATCGCTCAACAGAAAATTCTGAAGATATGGCTAGAGCTGCAAAAATTTGTATTAGGAAGAAGGCTATTTGCAGCTAAAACATTAAAATTTATGCAGGAGATGAGCACTACAGCAGTGCATAAATAGATCATGACCAACCTTCCTTCCTTCTCCTCCAGTAGGCAGAGTACTGCTTTAGTCAACGCACAGAGTAAACACAAGAGAACAGAACCGATATTGTTTGGGTTGGCCAAAAAAGTGGTACATTGTGACTTTAGAGGGCTTGACTTTGCACAACTTGCACTAAAAATAAGTATTAACATTACTGAAAACACTAAAGTTATGTTAAGAGATCACTAACGTACTTTCCAAAAAATAAGGCAGGCAAGGCAAATAAGCTTAAAAATGTTCTGTTTTAACTCAAAAAAATCACAGATCCACTGGACCTACTCCAAACAAGTGCTAATCGTGAGCATACCAGACCTACATGTGTTCTTATATCCACTAATGCTACTAGAGGGGGATTTAGATTTGTGATACAGCTTTACGACTACCCATTAGAAGACCTAAATTTAGGAAAACCTTAAATTTTATGATTAAAAAGTTTCAAATACAAGTGACAGAGACTGATGTCTCATTCATTGGTCTACTTGTACTAGAACCTTTTACATACTCTCTAATGAACCTCAGTAAGATATATATGGTAGTTCGATGATTAACATTAACTTATTTATGTATATATTTTAAGAACCAATTTATTAAGAGTTAATTTGCTACAGATTACATAACACCTTGCTATTTATCATCATAAACTCAAAACACTCACTATCTTTGAGAGAACTCCTCAAGGAATTGAAATCTAATTCACCTTTATGGAGCATCTCCCAGTAAATAGAGGTGATCTGCTTTCCTAATACAGTTCAGTGAATTTAAATTACGCTTTGTTTTTTCCACATGTGTCAACATAAAAATGCTTATTGTCTTTTCATTATTTACAAATTATTTATGAAAGAGACAGTGCCACAATATCTTCTGTGAGGAAGCTACATTTCTTTTTTCCAAACTAGCCTATTCCTCAGATGAATGACTTAAATGCCTAGAAATGCGCAAGTGCATTTGAGATCACTACACTGTTCCCTGCCTTTGACTCATGCCTCTCCTTTGCAATACAGTCTCTGCCATGTTCAAATCTTGATGCTTTTTCCTCCATTTCTCAAAGGGCTTCTTTCCAAAGAAAAATCAACAGGCAGAGTTCCTGAAGTATACCACTAGATCTATGCTGATATATTCCATGTGTGGGCATCAGTTCTGGATAATTATTCTGCTTTTCTGATAAAATGGTGGGATTGACAAAAGAAAGCAGAAGTCTGTAAGTAGGAAGGGGCAAAATTATGAAAGACTCAGCAAGGAATTGCAGTTTTTATTTGACACAGAATAAAGGAGAAAACATTTGTTCTCAAAGAGAGAATAAATAGGGATATTATCTTAAGCTTGAGTAAGCTAACAGAAAGGTTTTCATGCTTGAAAGCTTACAAGGGTTTTTTTCAGTTTTTATGAATTGGTCTAATAGATACTACATATTATACGCTACTCTTTGCCTTCATTTTATTATGAATAATAGCCTACAAGCCATTATATTAAGTTTTACTATATATAGCCTACAAATTGCTCATGTGTTTGCGTAATATGCAGCAAAAATGGAAGCTGGGCATAAAAGAATTCCAAAGGAGCTAGAAGGAAGAAATCTCATTCCTTGCCAGGCTACAGCGCAACACATGAACAGTGGTAAGGCGTACCAGAAATGGAAACCACTACACCCTTCCACCACTTACGTGCTGCAGACAGGAAGGGGAGAGGTAGCTGGAGACAGGAAGGAATCTCAGTAGCCTGATCAATTTGACATCTTTACATCAGATGCTCACATCCCTAGCTCTTCTGTTCTCACCACAAACTGCTTCAAAGCATATAGCACATATACAGTGTGCATAGAGATCATGCACAGTTATTGTGCATGTTCTGTAGTTGCTTAATATTGTACTCAACTTGTCTACATTAGGCTTGTACAAATCCCTTGCTTTAAAATCCCTCAGCAGGAGGGAAGTAAAGGATGATAAGAGTATCTAGTACTTCTTAGACAAGAGGTTCCATATGACGTTATTTAGAGTATAAGCATACGTTGCACCATTTCTTTTCTACCTATGATAAGTAGATTTTAAAATTCTAATTAGAGAGCCCATACTTATGTCTTGAAGTTGAAGGGTTTTATATGTTACAGTAATAGCAGCTTTCTCATCTGACTACAAAGTGTCTGTTGAGCCTTTCTGTGTGCCTAATATAGCCCTTTGCTTGGTTCTTCCTTAACAAGGAAAAAAGCTTAACAAGACAGGGTGACTACAAAGTCTTCATCATGCAGCATCATGCAGCACGATGCACCTTCAAGCTAGTAGTTGACTAAAAGAATTACAAAGCGGCAATACTAAAATGCCTATAATGTTCAGCAGAAAAACAGACCCTAATGAAACTTATACACTAAGTTTTAGGACAGAATTAAAATATGTAAAACTTCACACAGAATGCAAAGACAGATAGAAACTACTATTTTGGTAAGTTTTAGACAGACACATTATCCCACTTATTGACAAAGTACCAGTATTCATGAACTTGTAATGAAATAAATTCCACACATTTCTTTATATTTGGCTTCTGTACATTGACGGCAATATGCTCTGATAAAAATGAACACAGAAAGAACAAGATTTACTTTTCTCATACATACCTTTCACAATAACTGTAAAAAACCAAACAAACAATGCTGACTAACAAACTTCACACATCATGTCAAAGTGAAGATAGTCTCCTAAAAAGCAAAAAAAAAAAAAAAAAAAGCACAGTTTGAAAAATTGTGTGCATGTGTATATTAGGCACTTATCTTTGCAAAACATTTTCTAAAATTTCAAGTTCCACAAGTGCCTGCCGCAGCTCACGTCCTAAATGTTGGGGACATACAGATACAGAACCTTAAGAATTCATCCACATCAAAAATCCACATCAAAAATGCTAGCAGGACAGCACTGAGTCGCAAGAAAATAGGATCATTTACTATTTTTGATATTTCAAAATTTTTGGTATTTCCTTATTAATTGAATACAAGAGGTTCACGTGAGAAAGAACCACCTGATGATGTTAAGTTCTCATTTTTTAAGCTATGCAGAGAAAAGCCCTATTTCTTAAGTCTGTATTCCTAAGCAAAGAATTTAAATGTTAGAATTAGGAAGGTAGTGGAAGAGCATATAGGCTTTTTGGCCTTAAAATAATCTAGAAAGATAAGACACCTCCACATTATTTCTTATGAAAGCCCAGTATCTTTCCTTAATTTGATACAGTATTATTACTATATCCAAACAAAAAACCAAACCCACCTTAAATAAAACTTTTTTTTTAAATTTTAAACTCAGATCCTACAAAGACATTCAACAAAATCCACTTTAAAATTGTTATATAGGAAAAGAAACATTATACATAAGGGACTTTGGAAAAAACGTTATACTAGACCAATCAGAAGCCCATTTAATCTGCAACCATTTGCAAATCCAGATGTTGGAAAGTATATCGTGCTCCAAGGGAAGGCATAACAAAACTGGAACTGACAACCAAGAATAATAAAGCCGTAAGTTTTATGGCCTGGAAGTGCTGGAATTTTTTTCTTTTCTTATTCATGTGAAACCTTGCTAAGCTCTGTTTTAGGGATATCCTGTATCAACAGGAGTCATACCCTATATTAATGAGTCACAAATTAGTGCACAGAACAGAGGTAGCAGTAAGGGCAAAACTAAATGCTTACCTTAAATTTTGCCTCTGATTACCTGTCAAGCACGGTGAAAGTTTATAAACTGTGAATAGGAGGCAAAAGTGAAACTGATGCTTTTTACCTATTGCAAATTAGATGAAGAGGTAGACTATAAAGATGGACCACACAAGCCTATGATTCACCCCCACTGAACTCATCGAGATTTACACACCACTTAGCATCCAGCAAGTTCAAGCCCTTTACCACACAGTTTACCAAATGACTGTAGCTGGTTAAAAAAAAAAATTGAAGATGTAGTTTTAAGACACAGGCATATGGTTATCCATCTTCTATACCACAAAGCCTATGCTCACTGTAGATCCTGAACACCTATTTAGTTCAATGCCCTCACATACAACCAATAGCTGCTGGTCATACTTTTTCCTTACACTACCAACTTAATTAGAGATTAAGACCAGTATCTCAGATAAGCAAGACTTAAACGAGAAGACTTTTATCCATACAAAGCTCGAACAGTTTGTGCATGCCTAATTTATGCACCCAAAAGAACTGAATATAACAATAAAAAAAAAAAATAGAAAGCAAAAAAGATGCTTAAAAATTCTTCTCTCCATGTACACTGAACCAAGTATCACTAAGAGAAAGATACTATTCAGTTGCTTACTTTCCGCCCCTACTTAATCCATATTAGCTATACTCAAGTAACCAGGTGCAGAACTTGCACCTAAATTCGGTTATTATGCAAGACATATATCTTACCCTCTATGAGCATACAAGGTCTGCTATGGGCTGTAGTTCTGACTGGAGCTGATCACACAGAACCCTGTTCAATGCTTATTACCAGTAAATAACCCATTTCAGGGTAAAGATAAAGTTTAGCATATTAATATAACATCTGACACCTAAAACGAGAACTGTACAAGACAATTCTCTCTATGAACATGGCTTTACCCTTACAAAACATTTAATTCATCAAGAGCACAGAGTTATGATAAATTTAAGCCACCAGAAGACATATAGGCTGAAATAGAAACAGTGGTTTAAAAGTAAATACAATATTCTACTCTATTAAATACAGTAGAAACTTCAGTGTATGTTTGCCTTTTGTTTCCATTATTAGGAAATAAATATGCTTTCCACATGGTGTAACTTTAAATATACCAGTTGAAATTTGACATTTGAAGGAATATTCATTTAAAAGGCATTTCTTAATATCATTATAATTTTCAGCAAATAGCACGGAAATCTTTTTAAGTCTTTTCTTTTTATTTTATTTACCATTTTAACGACGTTAGAGTTGGTGCTGTCATCTTGCGGAACCATTTTTCAGCCAGTTACATGAAGATCTGCTGAAAAAAAAACACACAAAAAAAATGCTTAACTTTCCTTGTCATGACACTGTATTTTGTTTTTAAAATGTTACAGTATCCTAGATCACTTAAGATGAGTCACCACTTTAATTTATGATACACAAAAAAGATAAAAAATGGTCTCACTATGTAGTCTACAACGTATGTTCATGTAGCTGATTACCTAAAGCCAACAGGCTCAATAGCCTGTCCAACTCTACTGTTCTGAACATGCACTAAGTGACTTCTGAGGACAGGATGTGTAACTCCACCATTGATACTTAATGTGCAATCTTATTTCTACAGCACTAAACTAAGTGTTTCTTTGTGCAGTTTACCACTTTTTTCATATTGAAAGTTCCACCCTAAAAGAGAAAAGCATATGAAGCTCACAAAATATGAGATAGCTGTTATTGTATTAACAATTAGGGAAGAGAATATTATAAGTAAAAGAACTGCGAAATCATTGCAAAACAGGAGTATTGCTTTTAGCTGTTCTATGAAGTAAACACACATATCCCCCCAAAAAGTACATAATAACAAGAATAACAAGAGACCCAGAACAGCAGCTCAGTCGCAAACCATAGTGCAAGCAAGTCAACTTGAAATTCTTCCTTGTATTTACTCAAGATTATTTCATATGCAATTTGAAAGACAACATACCAAGATAAGGTTTGTACACAGAAGAAATGGCTTTAGTTTTTCCAGTTATACCGGCTGCTCCAATAATACAAGTTCTGGGATACAAACCCCCTCCTTTAACTTAACCCCCTCCTTAACAGTACACCTGATGTACTGTCATCAGGTGATTCTCATTTCATATTCGATTACTTTTGAGATAAGATAGAGAGACACTGCATTGACTCTAACCAGAAAAAAGCTGAAAGTAAATGGACAGATATTTTACACCCATCCTTCTAAATCTAGAAATGTACATTAAAGCAACATTAATTGAACACAACTCTGACCTCCACTCAGCTTTCAAGGGGTATCACAGGATGAGAGCAAAAGCAAGACTCTTCAGAAGGGATGGAAAGGTGAGCCTTATGCAACGTGACAATTACATTCACTACAGCCCTGTAATCTTTACTCAAGGAAAGTGTCCTGTAGAATCTGTAGAATATAGTGAAGCAAACGACCCGAAAAAAGAAATGGAAGCCAAGTTTTTCATGCCAGTACTGAGTACTGCAAGCAGAGATCACCGTTCCTAGCTAAATAAAAAGTTATACAAGACCGAAGTTTGCACACAAAACACATTAATTTTAGTTACCAAAATAAGATAATTTAGCTTAACATAAATAGATGTTTTAGGAATCTGGCAGTGCAGAATGTAAGTCATACTATCAAACTGTCATGGCACAGCTGGATCCTGGTATCGAACGAATAAAAAGAACACTTGAAAAAGTTCCCTATTCAGCACTTACTCAAAATTCATGACACAAAATTTCAAACAAATTTTCTTATATAGAAATAGTAATGCAGAATATGAATCTATTGCATACTTCGGAGTCTTTACTGCTACCAGAGTATCTAACCAATACTTCTCAGGTTCATTCATACAGCATCCCAGCATGACTAAACCCTGCCGGACATGAACATCTACCACCACATCGAGTTAGAAACATACAGTTTCAGGTTACCAGAGTGGAAGTTGACAAGTGGAACTGACGTTGCCCTTCTCCTCATGCTCTTCCAGTAACATTAGATGAAAAAACTTCATGTCAAGCTGCCAAGGCCTCTGTAAGTGTTACCATGTACAAAGCAATCTCTTAGCCACCAGTCGATATACATTTAATATTAGCTAAGAATTACAAGTGACATCCGTTTCACATGCTACCCATCTAATCTCGTCTAGTGCAAGATCTAAACATATCACGCTTTGTCACAGGATAAACAGCCACAGATCTCCGATAAGAACAAACACAGCAGCCTTCAAACCTACACGTCACTCTTGCATCTGAAAGCTGAGCCTTCCAGGCATACTAGAAATCGGCAAAATCACCGCATTCAGAAACGTACTTTCAGAGTGAATGGGGTCTTCAAAGATATCTTTAGGGAAAAGTAGCAGGAACAAAGAAGAGAAGGAAATTAGTATCTCCTTAACACACTCAGAAAAAAAAGTGGATGCCTGAGGAGAAGGAAATACGGCTCAAGCCCTGGGGATCACAGAGGAGGAAGAATGAGTATCCGTCCTGCATTCGCACGTAAAACAAACACTGGAGACCGCAGGGCGAAAGAGAGAGGCAGCCCAAGCAGGGGGAAGCACGAACCTCCTCGCACCTCAGGCGAGGCGGGACAGAGAGCTCGTCACCTGCCAGCTCGCTCCCGGGAAAGCGGAACCCCTCCACACACATCCCCTCCTTCCACGGGCAGGGCGGGCACCCTCGGCTGACTGAGGCGGGGAGAGTGAAGCTCTTTCTCCAACACCGCTGACACAAACGTGCGTGGGATGGGGCCGAGGTCCGGCAGACGGAGGGGAGGGGGCGACACACGCCGC